ATTTGGCCACTTTATTTCTTGGGTTTTCATATGTTCCTGTAGGATTGAGATCAAGCTTCTTAAGCCCTTTGAAAACTAGCTTTTCCCACATCTTGACCTTCCCACCTTGCTAGTCTACCTATCCAGTCCACAGAACAGTTCCATCTGCCTAAAAATACCTCTCGCTTTCACCTCTCTGGCTCCTCTTTGAATAAATTTCAAGCATCACAGATTCTGGTACACTTTACCTGCTTTGCCTGCCTGTGTTGCCACTTATAACTACAGAAGTGAATATAACGGTGGTTATTAACACTGGCTCTTTTAAATAAGACTGCCTAGGTTTTAATGTCTGCCATACCATTAGCCAATTATGGAAGTTGGGGCAAATTACCTAACTTCTCTGATCCTAATTTTCTTCAAGGATAAAATGATAACACTGCTTCATAAGATTATTATGAGGATTAAATAATCTACATAATTTACTTAGAACAATATCTGGTACATAAGTGATAGCCTATTACTTAAGTGGTACTTATTTTACACCTGGTTTTATAATTTTCTTGTCTGGTTCTCATATCAGACAGGTCAGCTGGATCAAGATCTGATTTATGTATTTATAGTATTTAGCAGAGATAGATATATAGTAGGCACCATAAAGTTTTGGCAAATTAATGATGGAAAGATGGATTAGGGGATGATGGATGGACTGTGGAATGGATAAGTGGATAAAAGACTTAATGGATAAATGAGTTGGGTTGTTTGTGCACTGGATGGGACAGGTGGATAGATGGATTGTTAAATGGAGAGATGGATGGATGGATGGATGGATGGATGGATTTGTGAGCTAGATTGATGAATAAATGGTCAAATGGATGGTTATATAAACAGCCTAATCCCATTAAAATGATATGGAGCAGAGGTAAACACTGTCAGAAGTCAATCTTGTCAACCATCTGAAAAGAAAATTCTGCAGTCTGTGATTTATTAAGTTTGGTGTTATTGTTTTATTTTTTCCCCAAGAACAGCTGTCTTTCTACTCAGGATATTTGGTTTGAGGCAGTCTGTTATTTGCAATATCACTGTATCCTTGTAAATTTAGATCTTCAGTAAATCTTCTTCAAGGCTTAGAGAAAACATGCATGTAAACTGTTTGGGTCACAAAGTAAATACCTATAATACCATCCCTGGAAGATGTTCCAGTTTAACTGAAAAAATACTCAATTCATAGAAGTCTGTCAGTTACTGGCATTCTTAGAGTTTCCTTGAAGCTAGGTCAGGCATACCACTGTCTTTTGGTGATATCCAGAATAACTCAGAAAAGCTAATTGGAAGAGGTGGTCTGTGGTTCAAAGGTGAAGAAGGAGTCATAGTGTCACGAGAAGGGGGCCCAGACAGAAGTGAATCTTGAAGGTTGAGAGCAGAAAAGTCCAGAGGATCAGAATATCGAGTCCGCCTGAAGCCCAAGAGTAGGTGGGTGCTGACTGAAAATCCACCTCAGGATAGAAGCTTTGCAATTGTTCCAAAGAAACCAAAACATTTGAACTAGTGAAGAATGACCTGTTAGAGCCTTAACCAAGAAGTGAGAATAACAATGTCTGTCCTACAAAGCTGTGTGGAGGACTAAAGGAGGTAAGGTCTCTAGCATCTTTGTGTCTGGCTCACTACTGCCTACCTGTTTTCCTGCTCCCTCCAAGGCCACTTCAGCACAGTGGTTAAAGCAATGAGCCTTAGAGTCATGATGCTATCAAAACCAGTTCCCTGCTGTATGATCTTCAGCTAGGTACTTCACCTTCTTGGCCTCAGTTTCCTCATTCTGAAATGTAAAAATGATAAAACCCATCTGTTAGTATAGAGGTGAAGAATTCTTGAATTAATGTGTGATAAGAGCTAAGAGCAATACCTAGTACAAAGTACATACTGCCTAAATATTTGTTCTTATTTTACAACTATTTATTCCTAAGGAGGTAAACACTTTGTCTTGATGACCAGAATAAGAACCAGCAAACCATAGAGGTGGGGACATAAATCTCTTTTATACATTCTTAGTATATTCTAAGATTAAGAAAATCTATTATTAATTTAGATTGATGTGATTTACATAAAACATTCTATATGTTACATATCATGTCTATATTGAATATACTTTAGGTTAACCTAATCCAATGTTAATGGCCACAATAACTTGGAAATACTTCATTACTGCCCCGAAACTTGAGATGGAGAAACTGGGAGTCATAGCCATTTAGAGTTTTGCTCAGGAATATGCAGCTAGTAGGTGATGGAACTGAGATGCTACAGCTTCTCCTGTTTTACCCCTCAGAGCTATTTGATCTGTAAGTCATCTATGCCAGATACTTGGTGCCTGGATCAGAAACAGAGGTCTGAGTAGAGGAATTGATTGGCCTAAAATGTCTCAGTGAACAAAGCTGGGATTAAAACGCTGGTCTATCTGCTCTCAGTCTAGTGTCATTGATGATGTGGAGAGCACAAGTATCTTAGTCCGTTTTCTATTGCTATAACAATACACCTGAGTCTGAGTGATATTTAAAGAAAATAAACTTACTTCTCATATTTCTTGATTCTCAGAAGTCCAAGAACATAATCCAAGCATCTGCTCAGCATCTGGAAAGCGCTTCTTGCTGCATCCTAAAAGGGTGGAGGGCATCCTATGGTGAAGCAGAACCTTGTGTGTCAGCTCAGGTCTCTGGTTCTCTTCTTACAAAGCCAGAAGTCCCCTCATGGGGATCCTACCCTCCTAAAATTATCTGACCCCAGTTATTTCCCAAAGAACCCACCTCTAAATACCATCAGTGTATAGATTTAGGAACTAAGTGTCAATATAAGTTTCAGGGCAGATATTCAAATCACAGCAACAGATACGTGTAAATCTTCATCAAATAGAACCTGAATTTTTTGACCTTGGAGAATGACATGTCCAGGCACTTGAACCAGCAAGCAGTGAAGTAGGGGAATTATCTCCTTACTGTGCCCACCCGTAGGACTGGTGAAAGATATCTGATGACTTGCCATAGGGTCATCCAAGGTCCATCTATCGTAACCTGAGATTCTCACTCTCTCACGATCCAGGGCCACTGTTTGGTCCAAGACCCTGAATAGCCTTCTTGGTGGCCAGACTTCTCTGCACCATGGCTTGCTTCTCCCAGCTCAGCCTCCCAAGGAGACATGGAGCTTGCATCTTCTCACCTCTCAGAGTCACTTTCCTCTTGGGCCTGAGGGCTATAAGTTTAGGTTTTGCCAAGAGCTGAGAGAAAGCTTAGAGATTTCTTTGCCTTGGGGACTTCGGCTACTTCCTACTCTAAAGGAGGAAGTTTGGGAACCTGAAACCATGTTCCTGTCTCTGTGGTTAAAAAGACTGTATCTTCCTCTGACAAGCAAATAGGTTAATGGTTGCAATTAATCAAATAATTCAAGAAGCAAGAAAACTACTTTTGCTTACTCAGACAGATATTTGGGAACCTGAATTCTCTAGCAATTTTTCTCAATCTTCAAATGTATCACTTACTGTCATTGTCGCAAAATCTGGTGTGAAATAAAAACATTCCTATTTATTTTCTTACAACATAAGACGAATTACAACAAAGGGAATATCATGGACTTATTTGAGGTTTGTGATTGCTCAGAAGTCAAGACCAAATAGATACATTAGAAAGAGATTAAAAGCAGTGATTTTTCAAGCTTTCTTTTGGAAAGTGGAATTCTTAGGCGTGTGAAATCCTAGATAAAACTCCAATTTATAAATAGATAAAAATGAAGATGCTCTGACTTTGTTGAATGCTGGGGAACCAGTGGTCTCACTTTCTCCATATCCTTCTCCCAAGTTACAGTGAGGCTGTTCTACAGAACCTCTGAACTCCTAGGAACACAATTTGAAAACTACTAATCTAGTTCAGCACACCTAGGCAACACGTGAGAACACAAAGCACAGAATTTATTCAAGTTAGGGTCTTTTCAGACTGAAAGTTGAAACTCCTCCTATTTAGTACCATATTATTTTATTCTAAGGATGAATTATGTCCTGGTTGTCTACTACTGTATAAGAAATGACTCTCAAAATCTAGACTTAACGAATGTGGTTATTTGCATGAGTCTCTTGGGCAGGGCTTAAATGGAACGACTTGTTTCTATTCTATAATGTCAAAGGTGTCAGCTGGAATGCATTCATTAGATTGGGTTGAAATAGCTGGAGGCTGCCTTTGCATTTCTTTCTCTTTATATAGTCTCAGGGCTTTTCCATGTGATCACTCCATCATGATGACCTCAAGGAAGTTGACCTTCTTTCCTGGAGACTTGAGATTTCAAGAGAGTTTTCCAAAAATCTGGACAGAGCAGCAAGGGTTGGAAACCCTAGAACATGACTACTTCTGCAGTCTGTTGTCATACAAGGCCAACCCTGACTCAGTGTGGGAGGGATAGTATGCTCATGGGCCTCAACACTGGGAAGTGTAGGTCACTGGGGAGCCACCCTGAATCCTGGCTATATGATTTCCTTGCTTTTGGTGTGGCCTTACTAAATAGATTCTGATGTGATTTGATCTTAAATAAGGAAGATCAAAGAAGCTTTCGTAGTTTTGCTTAGATCACAGGTAGGAGCACCGTCTTGTAGAAGAGTGGTAGACTAGTTCTAAGTTGCCACAGAACACTGGTGCAAGACCAAAGGACCGAAGAGCAAAGAACCCTAATTACAAAGAAGCTCATTTTAGTTGACCATATGCAAGAACTTTCAAACAGCCGCCACAGAAGTTGGCTTCATCTGCATAAAGTAGTGAGCTTCCCTATAATAAAAGCAGTCTCTTTCATTTCTTCTGCAGTTGAAAGTATCTGACTCTCAGAGAAAATAATTATTAGAGGAATCTGCATCTCCTTGAGCTTAGGGATGCTGAAATAATATGTGCATTTCTAAGAATCAAGATTTCATATAAATCTAATTCTTGTTTGTTTGTCTTTTCTTTTTTCCCCCCTTTTTGGACATTTCCTTCATCTGACTGCCCATCAATATATAGAAGAAATGCTTATTCCTACTCCTATTACTTGTAAGTATTGAGCTGGTGTTAACTTTGCTTCGTACCCGATTAGGGAATGTGTCGCATGCATTTCCTGCACCAACCAATTGTCTGTTGGTTTCTTGTATCAACTTCTGTCTAAGTCATCAGTCACCCCTGAAGTTTTTATTATGTATAGATGTTTTCCATTTGAAAATTCGCTGTCATTGTTCAAGTCTGTTATGTTCCTGTCTTCTTGATTTTTTCTCCTATCTTCGGAGATGTGAAGGATTATTTCTTCTTTGTGAGTGCAATTTTTCAAGTAGGAATCCCTGAATTCCAGCAAGAGAGGGACCCAGTTCTCCTGCCAGACCTGTCCTAATAAGACAGAATCACAGATCCCAGTAACTTCTGAGTCCATTTGTGTCTTCTTGGGGAACAAGTACTGTAGAGGCTCAAAAGTTAGACAGGAATTGCCTGGCTGTTCCCATCCTTTCAGAGCGGTTTCAGGGAAACAGTAGGGCTCATTACATTTGCCAGACCCGGCTTCGTAGGTAACAGAAACATCCAAGACCTTTGCTCTGGGCTGCAATTAATCTGTTTGATGTCTAGCATTAGGTATTTCACATTATCAGTGCACTCTGTTTGGGGTTATACATGGCTTCTGGCCTATTAAATGGTTTCACTTATGAAATAAAAGTATTTTTGTTAATGAATCAGATCTGTAAAATATAAGGGTAAGGGAGAAACCTATGTAATAGAGTCTTGATATTGAAAAGGTGAAAAAACACTGAAGTGTTCTCATATTGCTAATACAATGCATTTTGCCTTTCTGAAATTTGAGGATCAGAGGGAGATATGTGATCTCATTGCACATATAGCAAGCAAGATAGGATTAAAATTCAGAATATCTGACTCCTGGCAAAGCGTATTTCCCACCACACTATGTCTTACATCGCCTTAGACAAACCGAACCTTGTGAGAGAGCTATGCTTGTTGGTGATTATTTGCTGAACTCTTCATAGATAAAGATACAGCTAGCAAAGGGCAGACCCACTGCCTTCTGCTCGGTTAGGGCCAAGCAATGAGCAGATAAAATAATGGTACAACCACCATCTTGTTAAAGGGGAGCCAATGAACTCCCACCACCAACACTGAAAGTGCTAGAGAACTTACTTCATTTGTTCAGTCATTCAACAAACATGCATTGAACATGCACATTATGTTCCAGACATTGTGGATGGAGAAATGACTAGGACTCTGAGCCTCACCTTCATGATGCTCAAGCCTAACTGAGAGATCAACATAAAAGTCAAATAATTGAAATGTCAGCTAAGAAGTGCTTGTACATACTATGGTACAAGAGTGCTTATTTGAGTAACCAGACTTTTAGTATAATAGGAGATAATAGTGTATTTAGAGATGCATTCACTCAATAAAAATCCTAACTAGTGGGAACAGTATCTGCAAAGGTCTGGAGGTTTTTAAAACAATACAGTGTGTTTTCCTGTGAAAGAAAGAGAATGAGTTTTAAGAGTCATGTAGTTCTGCATTCAAATCACATCTCTGTCACTTAGCCAGCGGTTATGCAGCTTTGAGCAAGTTTTCTAAACACTCTGAGCCTCATTTCTCTTACCTCTCATCTGAGAGTAATAGTGCCTAACTCATAAAGTTACCTTGAAGAGGGAGTGAGATAAATTTGTAAAGTGCCAGGCACAGTCTGGGCTTAAGAAATGTTGGATTTCTTTCTTCCCCCTTTCGGTAAGGGGTGGCATTCATGGTGACTCTGGGAGCAATTCTAGACTTCTGGGGCCTCAGTATGGGCATACAGGCACCTATCATAAGCTCTGCACCCCTCACTCCCTTCTTCTGGAAGCCCATGTCCCTCATCCTGTCTTTGGAAGCTGACTTTGGCTATACACTATGATAGGCATCGTGATGGATTTACAGATGAGCAGTGTGAAGTACAGGAGATAGATATGCAAATTCTCATGGTTAAGGTACAATGATAAGCAAAGGTCTTTCAACTGGTGCAAACATTAAGTTTCACATTACAGACCCTAGGCATAAAACTTATGACAACACTGGGAGCCAGGAGCGTATGGATAAGACACAGAGTTTCTATCATAATATTCATAATTTTATATTCACCAGCCCCCCAAAATCCATAAGTGCCATATATCATATGCCACTCTAGAGCAACTCTCTGCAATGCCGAGATGCCTTAGATGGTTAGATTTTTCTCTTGAGTACTATTTTCCCATCCCCAAACTCCAATAAACACTCACCTGAGAAGGTGGACCATCCCCTGATATTAAAAGGACTGAACAGATAAGTCATGCTTAAGTTATCTGAACAGTAGTAGAGAAGGGGAAACTATCAGCACATGCCAAATATTTTGAACATACATTAGCTGAATGGGTCTTCACAATAGCCCAACCTGATAGTTACCATTTTCCATATTTAATGGGGTAGGAATTGCTCAGAGAAGATAAACTATTCTCCTAAATCCACTCAGTAGCAGGTGGAAGGAAGAAAGGATTATCTTGGAAACACAGACATGGGGGTGCTAGCTTAGAAAAAAGAAGATGAATAGGACTCTGTATATGTTGGTTGAAAATGCCGATGGAACTGCCATGCAAAAAAATTTCCATGGGACTTTGGAAATGAAAAGGTTGAGTTTGGGTGGAAGATAGATATTTGGAACCTTCCCTGAGAATATAGGGTGGATGATATCAAGACTAGGGAAAGACTGGAAGGAAAATGGAGGAATAAGAACTGAGGTCCAGAAATTATGATTAAAGATTCAGAGGAGAAGCAGAACTGGCAGGCAGACAGATAGTAGGGGGAAAACTGTAAGAACCAAAAAAAGAAGGTCACTGCAGAAGGAGTTGGTTGGCCATAACAGATGCTACATACAGAGGATGCAGGTGGAGATCTAGGGCACAGCCTTAACAATCAGACATCAAAAAGATCTCCTTCAGGTTATAAGGTAAGGGTAAGGCAGAAAACCCGCCTGCCTGGGGTCATAGGGACTATCACTTTTTTTTAACCACGGGGCTGCAAAATAGAGGAGAAACACGAGATTGGCCACTTGAATGTTCACAAAGTCTTGGGCACATGTATAGTCAAAGTAAAAGAGCTCATGAGGAATGAACAGGCTGGCAATGCTGAAGGTGAGTTTACTATGGAAAGGGAGGTCTGGAGGCAAGGTGTTTGGGGCAAGAGAGCAGCCTAGAACCAAAGATGGGTTCAGTGAAACCGTAAGATTGCGAGGCATGGAGATAGAGAAAAAGGATCAGAAGAGAAATAGTGATGGCCTCTATGACCTCCAGATTTGAAGCCCCATTCAAAATTCTAGACTAGACCATGAATGGGAGCCCTGAATCCTTCTGACCTGGTAGACTACGGACCACCAGCGTCAGCCAAGAGCTTGTGCCAAGTGCAGCACCTAGGATCCCTGCTCAGATCTGTTGAATTGGAATCCGTGTTGTACCAAGATTCCCTGAAGAGTCATATTCACACTGAAGTTTGAGAAGCACTGACTTAACCAGAGTCCTAGTTTTCCATTTACAACATAAAAAAGACACCCTCCTCACAGGGGTTGGGGATCGTGTGATCCCTCCAAAAGCCCCAAAATCTTCCTCAAAAGAGAAAGCCTCCAACAAACTTCGATTAACTTTTATCTTCAAAGAAACCAGTGTTTATGCATTTAACAAATATTTGGGGAGCACCCACTATGTGCCAGGTGCTAGTCAAGATTCTGGGGAACTAGGAATTAGCATAAATACAAACTTCCACCCATGTGGAGCTTTTTAGTGGGGAGGAGAGAAAAATTTTAAAACATATAATTAAAATACATAGTATGTTAGGCAATGGAAGAGCTAAGGAAAAAAATAAAGCACAGTATATAAAGAATGAGTAGAAGAAAAGTTGAAGAATTTTTATTTCTTCCCAGAGAAGAGACCCTCAATTGAAAGGATCCATATTCAAGACTAGGGCAGTCCCCACACATTTTCTATAAGGAACAAGACAGTAACTATCTTTGGCTTTATATCTACTCGACTCTGATTATGTAGCCTAAAAGCAATCATAGGCAATATGTATATGAATGAGTGTGACAATGTTCCAGTAAAACCCATTTTTAAAACTTTAGGCAGTGGGCCAGATTTGGTCTGCAGGTTATAGTTTGCCAATCCTTGTCCAAAACTTCTAGAGGTCAAGAGAAAATGAAGTTCAAGATTCCTCCTGATTTATTAAGCTCCTACTACTCACTGCATTCTCTACTTGATGTTAGAAGCACAAAAATCACTATTCTAGGTGTACATTGCCTGTCAGATTGATTTTACCTGGAACAATCATGGAACCATTCTGAGCCTCAGTTCCTTCATCTGCAAAATGGAGCTAACAACAGTGACTTTCCAGAATTTTGGTGAGGGTTAATGAGAGGGTGTATATGTAAAGTGGCCAGCACACAAGTATTTCACAAATAAATGCTGTTTTTCCTCACATTCTGGGCTGACAGAAATGCTTCTTGGGGACTCCTTTCTGCCTTTCTATGGTAAAGCAGCTCCCAAAACTCCCCTTGTTCAGTGTTTGCCTCTTTACAGAATGTTAAGAGCTGGCGTGTGTCCACAAGTTAATTTACCTCAAGGTGTGTGATGGGCACAGTAATTGTTTTCAGCAGAGACATTTTAGTGTAGTGGTTCTTAGAAAAGCACTAAGAGTTTACCAACTGTTCTGGCTGAGAGAGAGAGGGAGAGAGAGAGAGAGAGAGAGAGCACATTCCCGCTTCACTTGGCCTTACACAAATGCCTTGTGCAGGTGCCATGGAGGTGGGAAACCGGGACCTGGGCTGATCTGTGTGAACCCACTCTACTCCACGGGACTCCTGTGCTGTTCCTACCTACTTCTTGTCCCCACCCCCTGCACTGCAGCAAATTCAAATTCTACATCTTTCTTGGAGGTCTAGATCAAACACTGCCTCCTATAGGGGATCTTCCTTGCTTCGCACCACCTGGAGAAATCCCCTTTCTCTGACCCTTCACTAT